TGGAGTCCTATGTGCCTCACTTATCTGTATGTCAAGTTCTTTTCCCCTGCTTGGGAAGTTTTCTGCCATCACTTCTGTGAACAGTTGTTTATGTCATCTGCACTCTCTCCTCTTTCTTCATGGACTCCAATCAGTCTTATGTTATTCTTCTTTGCATTGTCTAGCAGCGGCTGGATTGATTTCTCATGTTCCCTTACAATTTTGAAGCAATTCTTCTTTTCCTGGTCACTAATTACAATCTTATCTTCTATAGCTGAAATTCTATCCTCACATTGGTTCATTCTGCTGTGCAGACTTTTGATGGAGTTTTTAATCTCCTGGAATCTGTTTGCACCTGTTTTATGGATTCCATTTGTTTCCTATGTTGGGATTCCATCATGTTCCTCAGATCCTCTATTTTTTCATCTGTGTCTTCTCTATATTTATTAATCATGTCTTGCACTATGAGCACAATCTTTGCTGTCATCTGAGTAATTATTTCTGATTTCATTTTTCCTAGATCCTCTTTTGTTGCCAGTTCAGAGAGTCCAGGTGGTTGAATATCAGATTGTTCCATCTTGTTTCCCTTTGTGGTTGCTGTAGGTGATCCAGAAATCTGTTTTTGAGGCTTGTTTACATGTCTTCTCATTTCCATGGGGTGGGTTGCTTCTGGTGCCCATGCCACTCACCTTCTCTGCCCTAGGAGCATGGAATGGTGGTGGGGGAGCTTCCTTCCGGGTTCTGGGACTGGCTCACCTTCTCTGCCCTAGGAGCGTGGAATGGCAGCGGGGTGGGGGGGGTCAATTTGTTCATAATTTAAGAGATGAGCAAAGGAGCCCTGAAGTTCAAGTTCCCCTGGTAAAGATGGCTCTTTCTTACCAGACGAAGTTGAATGAGCCATTTCTGGAGGAAAAGAGGGAGGGAGAGGTTCTTTGCCTAGGAAAGTAGATTAACAGCATCAATACTGTTAAAGTGCACTTTTGTCCCACACTATAGTCTACATATATTTGCTTTGCCATTTGTCTGTGTTTAGAGCCTAACCCTGCATCTAGCACAAAGAGGCATTTAGTAAATATTTGTTGAATGACCTTAGTTTGGAGATCAGAACTGGGTTCCAAGTTCCATTCTGCAGCACCAGCTTCCCCTGTGGCCTTGAGCTGGTTACATCACCTCTCTGATTTTTGTCCTCCTGTTAGGGAGAATGCTGATATCTGCATTCATGGGTCCATACAAGGTTCTGGCTGCAAGTGAAATTTCTTCTTTTCTGTCATGTGTGTGCAATATTGAACTTGGGAGATTATATCAACACTGAAGAATGAGTCCTTTCCCACTAGGAGCTGCACACATGAGTGAGAGAACCCACAAGAACCCAGAGGGGCTGCAGAAGCCAGTCTCAGCCCTCTGCAGCCAGGATTTGGGCCCCTACCATGTGTTCTCTGGGTCTGGTGGGTTGGATGCACTGGTGCGAGCTCATGGCACCCTGATGGGGTGATGGCTCTGGAGACAAAGACCTGGAATCACTGGGGGGCAGGGGCAGTTGAAGCCTTGAGCACAGTTGGGCTACTGTAAGATGAGAGTATGGACTGCAAAAGAGGAGAGGCTGGGACTCATCCTCAGGAAAGGTGACACTGGAGGAGCAGGCAGATGATAAGAGTCAGCAACAGGGCCAGAGATTTAGTTTAGTGGGGCCACTGCCTGCCTCGCCAGTGCAGGGTCCCAAGTTCAATCCCCAGTACCAAAAAAAAAAAGAGTCAGCAACAGAACCTGAGAAGAAATGGCCAGAAAACCAAGATATCAACTCTAGGGGAAGCCAGGAGAAGAGAACAACAGTGCTCATAAAAGAAGGGAAGAGGGATCATGGGGAGAGAGGAAGGGTGAGAGATTCACTGTAATTTATTGAGACTAAAACTTCAGTATGTGCATTATGATTTTCTAAAAACTCAATCAATGTATTGAATTTTTTTAAAAGATATATACCAAAATGTTTCAGATGATTTGAATTGTATCTTTTTCCTCTTTTTCATATAGCCTGATGTGTGTTTGCATAATTTTTATAATCAAAAAGCTATATTTTATATCAAAAGATATATGAGTTTGATCACCTCAAATAGGTTTAAAAGAAAAGGCTATGTGTATGGGCCCTCAAGGAAGAGATATACAAAAAATGAAATCAACTGTTGGACTTAATCATTGAAGCTTATGGTTGGATTTGGCCTGATTATTTGTCTTGGTAAAAGTATTTAGTGTTTTTTAATTAAACAATGTTAATACAAAAAATACTGGGAACCAAGTGACCTTCCAAAAGGTTCTCTGTTTGTTCCTCTCGTTGTGACTGTCGTGCCTATAAGTCTACATCTCAGGGACCATAACAAAGGACTTGGCTCTTCAAACATTCCTTGGGACCTACCACACCCCTCACAGCTCACCAGTACCCAATATCCCATCCTGCAGGATGAGTGCGCTTCTTTGCCTCCCCCACATCCACCTTGGCCATGGGACACCTTTGGGTACCAATATGTGAGCAGAAGTGTCATGTGCCACTTCCAGGATGGAAGCTTTCAGAGCTGACACATTTCACTGTGTTCACTTTTCCTTCTGTTGTTATAACTCACAGATCATGATGCAGATAGACAGGGTCTGCTCTTAGAGCCTGGGTCCCAAGGTGAGAACAAGAACAATAGGAAGAGAAACCTGAAACCAACCTGGAGTGGAGATGTTTGTGAACAATACATAAAACTTTGTTGTTTAAAATTATTGAGGTAGGAGGGAGGGGGAAAGGGGGCTGTTTGTTACTGCAGCTTGTCCTGACAGATACAGTCTTCTGGAACCCAACGCGAAAAAGAATACATCAGCAACACCAGCACTTTCTCAAGAAACCTAATTCTTAAGTCTTTCTCGCTTTCTTTTCTAGATGATGCATATTTACTACAGGGACTTAATATAGAGGAACTCTATCCAGAGACCTCTAGTTTCATTACTTATGATGGGTCAATGACTATCCCACCCTGCTATGAGACAGCAAGTTGGATAATAATGAACAAACCCGTCTATATAACCAGGATGCAGGTGAGCCTGTCTTTGGTCAGTCCGCTCCTGGGGAAGATGACATGAAGACCAGTGGGGTTGGTTCAGAGCCTTTCGTGTTAGGTTACTAGGACTGCTGAAACCAAGTGCCACAACAAAAACACGTCACCTCGCAGTTCTGGAGGCTGAAGTCCAAGAGCCAGGTGTCAGATGGGGTTGATTCCTCCTGGGGGTGCTCCATGCCCCTTCCTGGTTTCTGATGGTTTGCTAGCAACCATCTGAGCTCTTCAGCATGAGAAACGCACCCACCCCCATCTCTGCCTTCACCTTTTCATGGGCTCCTCCCTGTGTCTGGAACTCTGTGTCCTTTTCGTACAGACACCGCTCAGGTTGAATTAGAAGAGCCCACCCTATAGCTTCACCTTAACTCAGTAATTGCATCTGCAATCACCCCACTCCCAAGGTTACATTCTGAGGCCTGAGGATCACCAGTACTTCCAATTTAAGAGTTTGGGGGTGTAGTGGGGGTGCTCACAGTTCAGCTCAGAACATTTCTGTTTAAAGAGCTGACGTCTGGCATGGGTCAGCGTGCTCTCACAGTGGCTGCACCCCCCTGTCTGAGGGAGAAAAGACAACGAGGCTGATTCCCAAAGTGTGTTCCAGAACTCTGATTCCCAAAAAGCAAAGGCTCAAAATGAATGATGTGGCCAAACATGCTTGAAAAAGCTGGATTTGTAAATGTTGCATCGATTTCACTATGAAGGGGTTTCTCGAGCCTTTTAAAAATAGTAACACTCATGTCGGTCCCCAAGTGGAAGGCCACGTGACGTGCAGCCTTCTACAAATGTATTTGAACACAGGATTCTTTTAGATCACCTCATACATGATCCATTGCTCAGAAGTGAACAGGATACAGAACTGCCCTCCTGTGGCAGCTTTGCTAAGTGGCTCCGGGTGCACATCAGACCTGTCACCCCACTCTGCGAAATGGATGCACCCCCTCTTTATCATGGGGTGGGGGTAAATGACAGGAGTTTCTTCCCGCTCTGACCTCCTGTGACTGTGAGAGTCTATGAAAACTCAGGAAAGATGGGCAAATGAACCAGAACCCCATCTCCTTGACAGGATACGCACTCACCACCTGATGATTTGGACAGTTTAACCTCCCTGATCCTGTCTGTATTAATTGGGGCTCATTGGATGACAAGCAGCAGAAACCCCTGCAGATAGCTTAAGCATAGAAAAAGGATTTATTCAAGAGATACTCAGGAATCTCATGAAGTTTAAGATCACTAACTGATGTCAGAAACTCACTGGAGTCAGAATGCTAGAAGCCCTTCCTCTCTGCTCTTCTCTTGTTCATTTTTGTTTTCACCCAATTGTGCTGGGGATTGAACCCAGGGCCTTTGTATTGAGCTACGTCTCCAGCCTTTTTCGTTTCTTTATTTTGAGACAGGGTCCTGCTAAATTGCTAAATCATCTAGGCTGGACTCCAACTTGCCATCCTCCTGCCTCAGCCTCCCGAATGCTAGTATTACAGGCACCACATGCCACTGTGGCCAGCTCCCATCCTCTTCGTTCTTTTCTCCAGCTAATGACTATCTTCCTCTGCTTCACAGTCCTGGGGTAGAACAAGGTCTGGTATTCACAAAAATGAATTGAATTGCTCCCAATTAGTTTAGCTCTGAGCCCTGGACCCATTGCTGTGGTCCAGGTAAATACCCATCCGAGTGTCAGGGAAATACCTAGCCACAGGTGTTAAAGCAAGCAGGACTCCCACAGAACACGCAGCTGGATTCCTTCCTTGGACAGGTGGCACATTGGAGGGTGAGAGTAAACGACTTGCTCAGAGATGCACATGAGCTAGTGAGCTAGAAGCCAGTTCCCTCCAAACTCGGAGACATTCATGGCCTTCAGCCCCACTGAAGCCAGGAGAGAGGGCTCTGAGGGGCTTGTGGCCTTTCGCAGCCAGTCTCCTGGGTCTAACTTCTTCCCTAGAGCATGGAAAAGGACAGTTGGACCTCGCAGCTCTTCCTCTCTCCACAGATGCATTCCTTACGCCTCCTCAGCCAGAATCAGCCATCTCAGATCTTCCTGAGCATGAGTGACAACTTCAGGCCCGTGCAGCCACTCAACAATCGCTGCATCCGCACCAACATCAACTTCAGCCTGCAGGGGAAGGACTGTCCAAACAACCGCGCCCAGAAGCTGCAGTACAGAGGTGGGTGTCAAGGCCCAGGGCGCAGGGCACAGGCCCAGAGCTCCAGCCTTCTGCTAAGACCTGTCTGAAAGTCCTGGTGCTCTTGCCCGGTCGTGGAGTCAGGGCGTGAATGACCATGAGACCACCCCTCCCATTCTGGTGCTGCCTTTCTCTTAGTAAAGCCTGTCTCTCACACCTAGAGCAAGTGGTAAACACTCTAAGGTTTGATATATGTGATCTGTATTGAAGGTTTGATGCCACATATATGAAACCTTTATACCCTTCTGGTTCAGGCAAGACAGACTTTTTATTGTCATTTTTTTAAAAAGAGCCCAGAAAGGGTGGTTTCTGCAAGCATATCTGTTAGAACAGGATGACAAAAGCATTTAAACTGTGGGTTATGTGTCCTCTAGAAGGTAGCAATTGCACTGGATCCCAGGCCATCTGGACGCAACGAGGTGGTACAATGTGTAATATACCCTTGTCCCCAGAAGTGGTTATTGTTCCTGCCTGGAGGACTCATAAAATGACCTCTGCCTCCTGTAACCCTCTGCTCCACACCCAGCCCTCTCTCCTCCCTTCTGCACCCGAGATATCTATTGGCCTCTGTGGCAGAGTCTCAGTGTGGAAAGAGAGGCAGAGGCAGCACAGGGTCTTGGAGATGTTCTGGACCGGAAGACAGGACATTGAGGTCCAGATGTGCATCTAACAAGTCATGCAAACTCAACCACTTACTCCTGTGGGCCTCACTTCTTCCTGACCGTATCTGTCCCCATCTACTTCAGAACTCACCGTGAGAGATAAATAAGAGCATGGATGAGGAAGCCCTTTGTGACAATAACATGCTCCCCACCTGCAGGAGCTGTGGTTCCTACTGGGCAGCTTTTAGAAACAGGTGCCACTGCTGTCCCCACCCGTCCCCTCGCCCCTCCTCCTTTCCCCACATTCCCTCATTCTGATCTCTCTCTTAGACACATTCCCAGAGCACCTAAACTACAGATTACCTGCTCCTGTACAGCCACACCTACTAGGAAAATAAATACTTATTATTGTGTGCTTCTAATGTGTCAGGCTCTTAGGCAGGTGGTGGCGATCCAGGGGCAATGAAGATAGACATGGCTCTAACCATACAGAGCTCATAGTCCAGACCAGGAGCCATTGCACTATATTTGGTTATGGAATAGCAAGCAAATATCTTAAACTTTGTGGGCCATACAGTTTCTATCACACTCTAACGAGTCTGTGAAATCAGCCATAGACAATACGTGAGTAAATAGGTCAGTAGTGCTCCAATAAAACTTTATTTACCAAAAAAAAAAAAACCATAATGTGCTGGATTTGGGCTGTGGGCTGAAGTTTGCTGGTTCTGGTCTAGACCAGCCATCAGATAGAACTTTCAGTGATGACAGAAACAGTCCATATCTACGTTGTGAATACAGCAGCTACTGAACATCAGGAGTGTGGCTGGTTTGATGCCACAACTAATTTTGTTTAGTTCATTTACCTTTGTGGTAGCCATATGTGGCTGGTGGCTGCCATGTTGGATAGCACGGTCTAGTGGGTCATGCGGAACAAAGAAGTTGGGAGACAAATAAGGATTTATAAGACAGCCCCTTCCACTTTGGAGTAAGCGCCCCCAAACTGTGTGTAAATTAATTCAGTTGTGCCTTGTTCTGTGTTGTGTGTGTGTGATTTTGTTTCTTCTCTTTCCAGTAAATGAATGGCTCCTCAAGTAGGGAACTAAGCCAAGAAGAATCCCACCTCAGAAAAATGCTACAACTGTGAATTGATGTAACCCAGAATGTCCTCCTTCTTTCTTCTTTCTTCTTCCTTCCCCCAAGCCTCATTCACTCTTTGGTTTGGCCCCTCCCTTGTTCATGAAAAGTGCGTGCAAAACCATGGCAGAGGAACTCATCTGTTATACACAACTCCCAAACACACACACACACACACACACACACACTCATGCAAGCTCCATGATGGAAAGCCAAGTTTCAGAAACAAAAGGCTCATTCATAAGAAGTCATAGAAGAAAATAACCAGTTAACCTGATGACAATTTTGATACCGTTTTCCTGAACTAAGACATCTACCCAGTGAGACTTTTCATTCTTTGTACATACAAAATTCTTCCCAGTGAGAGAGAGGAGAAAGCACAGCTCTGAAAGCATCAAGTGGACTTTTCACCAGGCCTTCTCCAGCAGTGTCCTCGGTTCCATTCAGGATGCTGGCGACAGGTGAGCCAGGACAAAGCCAACCAAGGACACTTATTTCTAGATTATGATTCTTCTGTTTACTCAACAATTAAAAAAAAAAAACAAAGGACAGACATTAAAGAGCTACACATTGTATATATATCACCACAGACTATAAAGAAATGGAATTATTTCCCTCTTTGTCACATACATGTAGTAGGATTTGCCAAGATCAGAACTGATCCATTTGCTGTTTGTTGTTTTCCGAAGGTCATACATTGTGTTTGGTTATCATTAACAGCTCAATAAATGTATTTAACGAGTTAATTTCATTTTTCCAGCTTTCTGTCTGTTCTCCTCCCTTCCAGGATAAGCCCTGGCTCCATGCAACTCTATCCTTTGATTTCACTTGTTTCTCCATCTCCTTGTTTTGCTCATTGCAGCCAGTTTTACTGAGTTTGTGGCAATCAGGAATGCATTTGCTAAGCAAGTATAACTTTAATTCCACTCCATGGCTCGATTATTCATACAAGGTGAGCTTCAGCCTGACATAGCAGGCGACAGATTTCTTGCATTTCAAAACTGCCATCCCCCTGTGATGCTCCCATGAAGGAATGCACTTTGCCTTGTAACTTCCTGGGAAAGGGTGTCTTTTCTCTCCAGGTGCAGCCAGATCTCACAAAGTACAAACGAATGCCTTTCTTTTCTTGTTTATAATGGTCATTCACTGTGTTTGGTTACTGTCAAAAAAAAATCAATAAATGTGTTTAACAAGTTACCGAGGACCCCTGTCTGAGTTTATTGGGAAGGAGGATTCTCCCTCCTGCAGTCTCTGTGTCTTGCTGGGTCCACCAGCAATCACATCCAGCTGGCAGGGGGAAGCCAGGGCCACCAGAACAATCAGTCTGGCCATTCCCAGGGCCAGGTGAGAAGACATCCAGGCTTAGCTGCTGGAAGAGAAGACTCGAATGTGCATTGGGTGGCCAAATTAAAACTAACTTTCCTCTCTGCTTTCTATCACAAGCTCCAGGAAGAGGGAAACCACGGGCACAGAGAAGCTGTGCAAATGGAAACATTCACAAGCAGATTGAAAACTTCACCTAGTGGCAAGATACGTTAACAATGAAAAAGTCAAAGAGCCAGTTATTTCATAATTGAATGATACTCCCTGGACTTTCTTGTTCGCATTTGGCATCAATGTGAGCTATAGGACAGCTTTAGCCACATGGTATCTAGGCCTGTTTCTAAGCAGTTCTATTTGAGCCTGGAAGTATAGCTCAGTGGAAGGGCAATTGCTTAGCCTTCACGAAGCAGGGGCTCAATCCCCAGGACTGAAGAGTGAAAAAAGACTTATCCAAACTAAATACTCATAAAGATTTAGGGTGGGCAGGTAGCAGTCTTTTTTTCGTCTGAGTCTGCTTCCTCTCTGAGACTGAATCTTCCCTAGTCTGCAATGGCCGCAGGGGCACAGTCCAATGCTTGAAGAATATGAATAGCAAATCAACTTCACTCTGCCTCTTGGCTGCTGTGTGACCCTAGGCAAGTTGCTCTACTTCTCTGATCTGCACTTTGGAAGTGCTAATAAGCACCTTCATGAGTCAAGAGGCTTAAAATACTACATTGGTACTTCAACCAATTAGCACAATTCCTGCACCAACTGTTCTCTAAAAGAGCATTTGTGTGAGCAGCTTATCTGAATCCCACCTCAGCACTCTCTCCAGGCAGGTGCCGCCGTTGGTCACAATGTGGAGCACCAGATTAATATTACACAGGAGCAACAGATACTTGGCCAACGGGACAAATGCCTGTGCAGAAAGGGGCACAGTGGGGAAGGGTGGCAGGGCCTGGGATCCTCGGCTCCATTGTGCTAGCGGCATCCTTCGTGACTGTGGACAGCTCAACTCCCTCCCCTGGGATGCGTCCTTATCTGTGAGCAGGCAGGAGGACAGCCCCCCGCCCCCCTCCCCACCCTGCATTCTGCATCCTTCCCAGCCCTGTGTCTCTCTCAGTTCCTCATCCAAGGAGAACAAAGGAGAACACTTGCCTGGGCATGGGCAGAATCCCACCTGGCCAGGCAGAGCTCACAAGGGAGTGAAATGGCTCCTGCCTCCTTCCTTCTGGGGGGGAGCCCTCAGTGCTCCTTCTCTACAGCCCTGGGCTTCCCTCGCCCCAGCAGTGGAGATACAGGCGCTTGGCCCTCCAAGCACATGGGAGTAGTGAAGATTAGCTAGACTAGTATTGCTCCCCCTCTCCTCTCAAAAACTTAAACTTCCAAAGTCCCTTGGGACTTAGCCTGGGGAGGACATGAAGGAATAAAAACCCACGGGTGCATTCTGCAGTCAGAGGACCTGGGAAGGAGTGAGTAGCAACGCCATCGTATGTGCCCCCTGTCCCCTGGCATTAGAGTCTAGGTGACAGGAGAGTCCCTTCCCTCCGGGAGAAGATATCTGCAGCCCCCTCCTCTAGGACATGGCACAGGAAAGTTAACATCCACACAAGAGAATTCTTGGCAAATTAAATAAGAAAATACAGTGTAGAAACCCACAGCCCCCTTTTGGGAGACACATTTTGTGATTTCCAAGGCCATCCCATCTCCTTGGACAGTTTGGTTTCCATGGTAACATGAGGACAGCCACAGCTCACCGCACTAATGTGTGTGGAATGTAGTGCAGGACAGCATGAGGACAACGTGCACAGTCCTCTGTCACAGCCCACGCCACCCACATCAGGCTGGTGAGCACGGACCACATGGGCAGCACACAGCAACACCCCAGGGTGGACCTTCCCACTGGGCCCCAGAGCAATTGCAGTACAGAAGGGTGACTAGGTTTCTTGTTCCAGAAAACCTCAGAATGGGACCTGCAGGAGCAAAAACCCACTGTAATGCACTCAGCAACTAGCAGATGGAACATAAGGAAAGATATGCCAAAACCCCAGCCGAGGAGACATCCCAATAAAACCCACCCTGGACAGCACATTTCCTGTGGCTAAGGCCCTGTGCTAAGCAGTTAGCAATTTTCTTCTCATTTCAGGCACTCAGTGACCCAGGACACAATCGCTACTGCTACCCTTGTGTTATAAATGCAGAAATAGGCTTCCTAAAGACCAAATGACAGCTTCAGGGTCACACAGCTCATAAGTGATAAAGCCAGATCCAACTCTTCAAAGCCATAGTCCCAGCCATCAGCATCACTCAGGGACTGGTTCAAATGCAAGTTCTTAGACTCCACAGCAGACCTCTTGACACGCAGTAGCTGAGCCCCAGCCTTCTATAGTTTAACGAGACACCCTGGTGATACTGAGGTTTATTCAAATGTGAGAACCACAATAAATCAAGCATTCATTCTACAACTTCCTACTCTAGAGGTCTCCAAACATAGCTACATATCAGAATCTCCTTAGCATATCTACCAAGTTCACTGATGTTATAGCAGGTGGCAGGATTCCCTTCTTTTTTAAGGCTAAATAATATCCTACTGCATATATATGCCACATTTTCTATCTGCACATATTGATGTTCATCTGCCAATGGACATGTAGGCTTTTTCCTTGTTTTTGCTCTTCCAAATGTTGCCATGAATCTGAGAGGATAGATGTCTTTTACAATCCTGATTTCAATTCTTTTGGTTATATACACACAGTAGGAAGTCTGGATCATAAGCAGTTCCATTTTTAATATTTTGTGGAACCTTCTTACCATTTTCCATAGCAACTGTACCAATTTACATTCTCACTGACATCCTCGCCAACATTTGTTGTCTTTTGTTTTCTTGATAATAGTCATCCTAACCAGTATAAAGTTATATCTCTTAGTTTGGATTTGCATTTTCCCTGATGATTAGTGATGTTGAGAATCTTTTCATAGGCCTGTTGACCATCACTATGTCATCTTTTGAGAAATAACTATTCAGGTCTTTTACTCGTGTTTAAATCAGATTATTTGGGGTTTTTGGCAATTGATTTGTGAAGTGCTAAATGAAATAGTCTGGACACAAAAGAGCAACGCTACATGCCCCCATCCATGTTGGGAATCTAAAATATTCAAACTCATAGAAGGAAGCGGAGAATGATGATTAAGTTTCAGATTCATTAACATGTATACATTAAATATGTATAGCTTCTTTTGCACAAAAATCATACCTCAGCAAAATATATAGTAATATTTTTAAATAACTTCCTGGGAAGCTTTTGAAAAATCCCAAAGCCCAGATAGTACCACATACCACCTAAATCAGGATACTGGGGGTAGCAGACAGGCTTCAGTGTTTTTGAATTATCTGCAGATAATTCCAACATGCAGCAAAGTTTGGAGCCTCCATCGTTGTCTAAAAGACCTTCTCAGAGAATGGCTCACCCTGCGGAGTTCCCAGCGGCCAGCAGGATCTTCGAGTCAGCCCCTTTCAGAATCACACCCTCATCCCTGTGCAGACCTTTGCGGATGGTGTCAGAATGCTCCCTATCCCCCTTTTCCTTCCAAATCTTCAATTAACAGGTGCAGGATTTGAATAACAAATCTCTCTCTCACTCTCTCTCGCTCTCTCTCTAAATAAAAGAAGCATAGTATTTAAAACCATGGCTCAGTCCCAGAATTCTGGAACCCTAATTACGCAGATTGGAAAATTTCCAAAACCTCAGTCCATAAAGAACAAACAAAAACAAGCTGAGAGTCAGGAGGCCAGGAGTTTGGGGAGATAAGCTGGGTATGAAATTCTAAGTCACAGGCAAGTCGCAGCCCTGCCACTTCTAACTTCATGGTGTGCTTTCCTTGCAAGGCTTCCACCCCCTCCTCCTGTGACAGCCCTGTCACACACACTGTGACAGCCCTGTAGCAAACCCTCGTCCCACTTCCCATCATCTCAGGCCCAGACTGTAGCAACATCCACCCAACAGTTCCTCCCGTCTGCAGTCTCAGGTAAGTGGAAGATCTTGGGCCAAGAACACAAAAGTACCCACACTCTGCTCTCAAGTCCCAGGAACCTGAGTCCACCCTGAAGAGAGGTTGTAGGAAGGGGCTGGGGAGCAGGTGAAGGACAATCTGAGATACAATTTAGAAGTAAGACTGAAATGCAAAGCTAAGCAGAAAACCAAACAAGCAGCACTCAAAATTGATTCCGCGGAGAAACAGAGTCCAGGAACAATGCACACTGTGTAAGAGGCCAAGTCCTGGATCCCAGGCCAGGGATGGAGGCAGAATCAGGACCCCACAGGACTCCCTGAGCTTTCTGTCAAGGTTTTCTGGGGCCTTGGCCATGGCCCTAGGTGGGGAGGACCAGATGCAGAGTCATATCCTGAGCCACACATTGCCAATCCACTCCCATCCCAAACCCCAACCAAAGCACATCTCCCAACAGCCACACTTTTAATAGTTCCCAGATGCTTTCAGGCTAAAGGATTACATTCTTTAGCAAAGCAGGGGACCCTTACTTAACAGGTTCTCAGCAGCGGTCCATAAATGTGTCTCAGCCCTTGTCCTGCGGGTTGGGGACCAGTCACCCCATACTCTTCACTGTTGTCCAGATACTCGTATTTTCCAGCCTCCTGACCTTAGCCCATGTCATCCCCACATTTGAAGTACCCTTTCCAATTCCTCCTCACCTCTGCAAGTACTCCACATGGTTTTTCCCCACTCTTTTCTTTTACTGGTTATATGGATTAATGGGTTTTGGGTTTTGGCAAGTTCGTATATGCACATAAAATACTTGGCTCATTTTCACCTCCCTTTCCCATCCACCCCCAACTTCATATTTTTGGAGAGTTGTATATATTTTGCTCATACCCA